TTGATTCCTTCGTTGTTTAGACTATGCTATACGTCACTAGCTAGTTTGAATGATGAAAGTACTAGGTTAAACCCGATGATGTACGAACTCTAGAATGGAGTGGAGAGAACAATAGTTTGACGATGAACACATAGCCTAATAATTATGATGGAGTTAGAGCCCTATGATCCTTTGTAGATAGTTAGATTTAGATTTACTTTAATGTCATTTATTTGTTTTTCTTTATCTCAATTCTTATTGTTTTCACAAGACATAGTTACTAGGATCGCGAAAGCAACTCCAGTTTTTATGGGATCGACCCTTATTCGTACACTTGCGAATGATTAAACTTTGTATGCCTGTCATGCATTGTGTATGGAAGGTGCTTCACCAGTCCAAGTTTTATGTATACTTGTTGGCATAAGCTGAAATTGAATAATACACTCTTTTAACCTTTTTAAGATTTTATCCATGAGGAAATAGTCTAATGGTCATACCTGTGGTTTCCTCCCACAATGCTTGGGTCTGGGCCCCCTCAAAGACACCTGCATGCAGGGACGGATGCAATACTAGTTGATGGCCCACCCTCAAATTAAAAAAAAAAAAAGATTAATATATACAATTTCTTAATTTTGGTCTATCCAAACAGAAATTTTTGGATCCTCCTCTGCCAGCATAGCCAATAAAACCATATTTTCCAAAGCTATATTTAGCTGCTTCTCGGGTGATAGTGGGGGTTTGTTCGAGTTTTGAATTTGGATTTGCGAATCAAATGCGGGAGATTTTCGGATTATTAAAAAAAAAACTTTTTTTGTGAGATTTTAGACCGGACGTAAGTTTCACAAATGAAGCCCAAAGGGCCAAACGTTTCAAGTATACAATACTAGTGAATTGTTCTATTCATAAGGTCCATGCAAATAGCCCAGTAAACTACATCTTGGACGACTTTTGAAAAGAGAGAAAGGAGTTTGAGAAAAGTGGTTGGAACAAGGACATATGTTATATTAATATGTTTAGTTATGAGGAATAAATTGGTGGGTATGTTATTTAAATTATTAAATTGTCCTTCTTTTAAATATTAATATAATATTATTTTTATTATTAATTTTTGAATATTTTCTTTTAACTCCCAATATTCAGATTTAGCTAAAACACCCCTGCTTATATAAAACTTTGATTTATGATGAAATCACCTCCACCTCCTGCCGCCGCCTTCCGCCACCGCGAACCACCATCGGAAAATCACCGGAGTCCCTAAAAAAGAAGAAAATTCTGTGGGAGGCTCCGGGAGGCTTCGATATGGCCGTTTCCGGCCATATTGGATTTTTCGGCGGTGGTCTATGGTGGTTGGCCCACTGTCGGTGGTGGTGGCTGGTTGGCAGTGGTGGTGGTTGCTGGGTGACAGTATGATCTGTAAATAATTTTAAATATAAGGGCATTATTGTCCAAAATTTTAATTAAACCAGGGTAAAATTGAAATATGATATTAATGTAAATTTGTTTTAAAGTAGGGGTACTATTGTCCACAAATTTTATTAATAAGAAATAAAATTGTAACAAAAAAAGATAACCTTGATCTCAGAATACCTAAAAAAATGGAGGTAATCAGATTATTTCAGATATTATCAATAGTAACTATTATTGGTATTTGAAGATTACCGGTACTTATATTACTTGACAACCAAATATGGTAATCAAATAATATAAGATGACATTACTCTAGTAATCCAACTTAACCCCCAACCAAACGTCCCTTAGTTGAGATTGATTAGTTTAGGAACAATAGCACGGATGGTGATATGGGGCAACAGGTTGGGTGTGGTCTCAACCTGTTTGGGTATGAGGTAACCCACCCCAACCCAATAACGCAAATTTTAGAATTAAAATTAAATTGCATACCATGCTTTTCTTGAAAAGAAATCTCTCTTTTTTATTTAAATAATTGATTAAATTTAACAATTGATATTTTTAATTAGAAATTTCTCAAAAATTAAAATATTTGTTTAAATATTATTCAATACAAATGAATATTTAAATTATTATAGATCTTCATTGCAGATGAATACTTAAATTGAATTAATATTTAATACATATTTATTTATAAGCTTTGTTACTTACACAATAAGTCATATAATCAATCCACTAAATTATTAATCAATTAACGTTTTTGTATAATTTCCACTTTTTATTTATTATATAAGTTTCCAACATTATATATATTTATTTAAATATCATTCATTCCAAATGAATAATTAAATTGAATAAATATTCAATATTTGTTTATTTGTAAGCTTCATTACGCAGACATTAAGTTATATAATCATGGGAAATTATCTTAAATAATCCTAAAATCAGCCATGGAATGAGAACTAACTCCATTTTGGAAGCTTTGCCTTCTATAGTCTTCACACAAATCCACTTGCATGTAAAAAGCCAAACATTTGTTCTTTTTCCTTTCTTCTTTCTTTTTATTTATAAGAAAACCCCCTCTCTACAAAATAAATCGTTCTTTCTACAACATAAACATTTCTCTTTAATCTTAAGAATTAAACGAAGATTATCGGAGTAATTTTATATGACCCTAAACCAAACACATCTTATACTAGGAATGTTTAGGGAAATGTGTTCGCAGAGGCGGATCCAACCACTTTTTGGGTGGGCCATGACCCACCCTCAAATTTTTTTTAAAAATATTAATATGTATAATTTATATATTTTGGCCCACCCTAACAAAAATATTAATGGACAAAAATATTAATGTATAATTAATTTTTATTTTGGCCCACCCTAAAAGAAATTCCGGGATCCGCTACTGTGTGTTCGGTTAGACGAGAATAAATTGGTATATATGTTATATAGATTATTAAATTACACTCTTTTTAAATATTAATATAATATTATTTTATGAATAATTTCTTTTAACTCTCTACATTTGAGATTTTGCTAAAACACCAAGCCACATAAAAGTTTAATTTCTAACAAAATCACCCCCACCCACTCCAAGCCACTACCGGTTGTTGGCCGCCATTGACAATGGCCATTAACTGCCAAATTTGTGGCCGTTAACAGCCAGATCTATTACAGTGTCGTGCGCCATGGATCTGGTTGTTAACGGCCAAATCTGCCATAGATATGGCCATTAACGGCCATGAATTTGGCTATTTCCAGCCAGATTGCTGAAACAATAGAACAAATCTGATTGTTTTTTGCCAGATCGACGCATGACCTATCGTGCGCCATTCCATGACGTCAACCTGTGGTGGTGGCCAATAGCCAATGATGGTGCCTAACAGCCGGTGGTGGTGGTTGGCAGGTGACAATGGTTCTGGGTGGTCTGTAATTTGTTTTAAATATAAGGGTATTATTGTCTAAAAAATTAATTAATTAGGGGTAAAATTATAATGGCAGGTCTATGTAAATTAATTTCAAAATAAGGGCATTGTTATCGAAAAAATTTAATAGGGGTTTTTTCATATTTTATATTCACATTATTTTTAATATAAAAACTGGAGGTATAAATTGGCAATTCACATTATACGAGGGCATATCAATAATTTCATATTTAAAGAGTGGGTATATTAGTAATTGACTCATTAATAAATATGATATAAATAAGAAAAAAATTTAAGTCAAATAATAAAGGGTATTTTCGTCTTCACAATGAATTAACATAAATTATTAACGGAACATAATGTTTGGATAGTAAAATGGTATTTTAAAAGTCTAGAGTGAGAAAATGTCATTAAACGATTATTTGGGAGGGACAAAATTATTTACTGGATAAATAGCACATATACTAAGATTGTTTTGATTTGGCATGAAGAATGGACAAGGACTATAAAATTGTTTTTTTGGTGTGATCGGCTCATCATTGAGTATTTTCTTTTTGTCAGTGTTGACCTAAAACATTTTGCAATATTGAAGATTATGTGAATGATGGTTGTTTTTAAGATCTTGGTTTATTGTTTAAGTTATCTGCTTATTGTCAATTTTGTTCGTTTATCTTTTAAATGAGGTGGTTACTATGTATCAAAGACAATTTCTTACCTCACATTGCATTGCATATTTTAACAACAGTGTATGAGATGAAAATGCATGCTAAGAAGCGTATAATAAACATGCAACACATCATCTCACTTCTAAACTCTCAAAAGCTTCCAAAGTTACAACTGAATATTCGTCACAGCTTCCATGTCTTGTACATTAACTATAACAACCCCAAATACCCAAACCTGGACCTCATAGACATAAATTCCTTTTTTTGGCCATTGAAAGTTCATCCTACTGTTTTTATTGAGAAGCTCTGTTGAACCAATTCAACTATTTCTTCGTCATATTGCACCCAAAATCAATAATATCCACACAAATTTAAAGGGTAGTAAAAGCATAGCTTTTGTGATTTTCTCTCTTAAGTTAGAAATCCCAATATATGCTTTTTTGCAGCACTTGTAATATCTGTTTTGAAATCGTATTAGATCTCCATTTAGGTTTGCCATGGATTATGCATAATCATGGTTTAGGGAGATGATGAAAAATGTTGTGTGTCTGGCTCTTTAAGAATGTAAATGGCTTCAGTGTGTTCTTACTGAAGAAAGTACTGTAGTATAGATATAGAGGAGAGATCCAAGTGATGAATGATGATGAAGAGGGTGAAAAATGGTGAAGTTGAGGCTTGTTTTAGGTTAAACAAGATGTTTTGTTTGTGTGCTCAAGGCATGGTTTTCTATTGGTTTGAAAATTTCATAACTTTTCAATGAAAGTGCAACAGTAACTTCACTGTTTTAAAATAATTTATTATTTTATAACTAAAAGGACAAATTAGTAATTTACGTTTATAGATAAAGCTGAGGATATATTCATCAATTCATTGTAATTACAATGTGGGTATAGTGGTAATTGTGTATGTGACATTACATTAAACCATTCAAATTAAAAAGCCAAATAGTAAAAGATATCCTTTTTCCCACTGTACCCCTGTCAGATAATAGATTCACTAACGAAGGTGAAAAAATGTTTTCTAAAACAGAGTTGGGAAAATGTATATCCGCCAAGCTTTGGGTTGGAAAACTCCAACAACAACAACAACAACAACAACCGCTCCATTTCTTAGATCATCATTAAATCTTCTCAACCAAATTCCAAATCCAAACCCCATAAAATAAAAAATGTCCAATTCAAACCCAACAAAACCAAGAACAGTGTGTTGCATAGGCGACATCCACGGATACATATCAAAGCTCCAAAATCTGTGGACAAATCTTGAAACCCTTATCGACTCATCAGACTTCAACTCTGCTCTCATCATTTTCTTGGGCGATTACTGTGACCGCGGACCGAACACACGACAAGTTATAGACTTCTTGCTTTCACTACCCACAAAATACCCTAACCAAACACATGTTTTTCTCTCTGGAAATCATGACCTGGCATTTGCAGGATTCGTCGGAGTGTTGCCTGAACCGAGAAAGGGGGCAGATTTCAAAGAGGGGTGGAAGGAATATGAACAAAATGAAGAGAGGGAGGGGTGGTTTAAGGGTGAGGGGTATGAGAGAATGAATTTGCAAGGGAGGAGATGGGGTGGGCATATTAAGGTTAAGTTTAATGCTATTAAAGGGACTGAATATAAGGGCTCTATTTATGATGCTGCTCCAACTTTTGAGTCTTATGGGGTTCCTCATGGCTCTGCTGGTATGATTTTAATCAGTTAGTTTTGTGTTGAATTTGAGAAATGATTTTGTTGCTAATGGGATTTAATCTCTGTAATTTGAGTCCTTCTGTTTGGTCATTAGAAAATGTTGAATTTGATGGCTTATTTTGTTGCCAATGGGATTTAAATCTCTGTAATTTGACTACTTGTGTTTGGTCGTTAGAAAATGTGGAATTTTAGAACTAATTTTGTTGCTAATGGGATATAATCTCTGTAATTTGACTACTTGTGTTTAGTTATTAGAAAATGTGGAATTTGAGAACTAAATCTGTTGCTAATGGGAATTAATCTCTCTAATTTGAGTACTTGTGTTTAGTTATGAGGAAATTTGTTATTATTTCTCTTTGGTAAATGGCTTCTTGTGTATAAATGTAGTGGTTTCTAATTGTTCATGTTGTGTTTGATAGATTAATTTGTTTTGATGAATGTGATTCTTAGTAATATAATGCATAAGACTGTTCTATTTCACTGGTATCATTATATCTTTTTATTGTTGAGAATTTGAGAACTAATTTTATTGCTAATGAGTTTTGGTTTGGATCATTCGATTTGGTCTCAGGGTGTGGTGTTTGTTACTTGTTGATAAATGGTTACTTTGTGTGACTGTAATTGTTTCTAGTTGTTCATTTTGTGTTTGATAAATGTGATTCTTAGTTTATTTGATGTAAATGGATTGCTTTTGATTGATGAATGTGATTTTTAATGCTTTGATGCATAATATATTGTTCTTTTTGAGAAATATTATTATTTTCTTGTTATTGTTTAGTGGAGTACTCTGCTTAAGCAATGGTGTATTATTCTTAATTCTGGAGTTCCCATGAGGGTTTAATTACTGTGATGTTTTGTTCTGATTACATTGGATACTGGCTTTTCTAATCTTAAGAAGTATGCTTTTGCAATGGTTATTTTTGAACCGAAAGAGTACTTTTTTATGAACAGATTTGGTTAAGGCAGTACCTGATGACCACAAGAAATTTCTGGCCGATATGGTTTGGGTCCACGAAGAGGTAAGGCTTCCTCTCTCTGCCATTTTTGTCATTCATGACTATGATAAATTAAGCGTGTGCCTGGTAGTTATACAACTGATGTTCCAAAATTTAAAGTATGTGCAAGTACCTAGCAGTAACTTGATGTTATTGTTGTAATTTCTGTGTTTCCTCAAACAATAGAATTCAAATTGCTTGATTGGTTGATGTGAAACATCAAAAGAGAGATTCAGTGAGTTTGTGTTTCCTTTTCCAGGATGATGTCTGCGTAGAGTCTGAGGATGGTATTAAACACTGTAAATTAATTGCTGTCCATGCTGGTTTAGAGAAAGGGAAAAATGTTGACAAACAATTGATATTTTTGAAAGCCAGGGACACTCAAGTGTCGAAGGTAGAAGCTCTTAGTGGGAGGAAAAATGTATGGGATATACCAGAGGTAATAGCTCAGCGCCTCATTTTATTATTTATTCATTTTAACTGAACTTTCGTTGGCTGATTTACTTAACGGTGGTCTTTGGCTGGCCTTCTGTCAAAATTTAGTAGAAGACATTTTAGACTTAACAACGTGAAATGGTGCCTAAATGTATGTTTTATCCTATCTGACAGGAACTAGCTGAAAAACCAACCATTGTGGTAAGTGGTCACCATGGTAAACTTCATGTTGATGGCCTTCGACTTATTATCGATGAAGGTGGCGGATATGAAAATAAGCCAGTTGCTGCAATCGTGCTTCCATCAATGAAGATTATCCGTGATACTGATAATCTGGTGAAATAGCTTTGACTTTGATGAATGATCATATAATGAAGCAATTCTATGCTTTGACATTAGAAAAGAATGCTGCCATTTTTGTTTTCATACTGTAACTCTACTGGAATATATCAGTTACATTAAGAGCAGGATTGTGTATGTTACTTAAAACTGCTCTTATGCATTCACTTTTATCATGTTACTTGTTTTGAATTTAAGGTTGCAGGTTTTTGAATAAATAGAAGAATTAGGCTTTTCCAGTCTAAGCACTTGCCTGAATTTTTTTTTTTCAATGGGATGAAACTTTAATAAGTCAAGAATGGAACAAGCTATTTTTCATAATTCTGGTACAAAGTTTTAAGGCCAACTCATCGCAGGGGACAAATGAAAATTTTAATACGTCGTAGTAAGAGTACCAGTACATGTAACAGTCAAACAAATAAATTGAAAATTAGAAGCCCAAAATATTAAGAATACAACTCATATATTTTGGATTGTATCCTTTGTTTTTTTTAATTGTTATTAAATCATGAATCAAATAAGCCCTTAGAATATGTTATTTTATTATTGAATAATATTAGATGAAAAATGCTATCCTTACAAAGACCCATATAAATAGGGTTACAAAGTGACATCATCCAGAAGAAAAAAACAAAGAAAAAACGGAGAGAGAGAGAGAGAGAGAGAGAAATCATGAAAATCAAGGGTGATGATTGTCTTTGTATACCCCCTTTGTATGTGTCTTTGTAAAACTACCATTGCTCATATTACATATACAAACACTTCATACAATATCTTTTGTATAAATTGACGTGATATAAAGTGATTAGATAAATTTGTAAACAAGTCAACTCTATCTTGTGAATTAATATAGATGAATAATGTGGCAATATAAGAGTTGTATTGTATCTATTTGTATAGAAGAATTTGTGTACTTATGTTATTTACGAACACCACATTATTTTCTAAAATTGAAGAAGATTTTATAACTGTAATAAAAAAAAGTATTTGAAATTTTTTAAATCAAGTATTTAAATTCTATATCAAAGGGGACTTTAAAGTATTTTGATAGCTAGCAAAATCACATTAATGCCTTTGTTCTGTTAAGCTCTTTTGTCACGATTAATAGGGGTGATTTTGTTAATTTATAAGTTATTTTATTTAGAGGGTGTCAATGTAATTTAGGAAATGCATAGAATCTGAATTTGGAATTGAAGAAAGATGCGTGACACTTGTGAATTGTGATGAGATGAGGACAATCATGGATTGGAATATGCGATGATGATGCGATGTGATTTTGATTGTGGGGATGATTGTTGCGGTCCTCCTCCTGCAGAAACTTAAAATTTATTAAATTTAAAGAGATTTTAATACTTTAGGATATATTTTTAATGATTTTTATAACTTAAATTCTATAACTTCATATTATAACGATTTTTAAGAGCTATTGTAAGTAGAGGTGTTCGGTTTTGGGTACCCTGCACTTTTTGAAGGAATCGGAACCGAAACCAGAACCGACAGTTCCTTGAAATTTGAAACCAGAACCGGAACCGACGGTTTCGGTTCTTAGGTACCCAGAATCAGAACCTGTAACAACGGTTTCTGTTTCGGTTCTGGGTACCCTGTAAAATTCATGACCCCCCAAAAGTTTTTAAAATGGCAAAAAAACCTTGAAAAACTTACAAACACCCCCCCACCTGGCACTTGTTAACAAAAATAAAATTACAAATTATAAATTCAAAATTACAAATTCTATTACTTTGTAAAGGTAGATTCTCAAAAGTCAAATCAACTTACTTTAAATATTATGAAATATAAATATAAATGTATTCATATTACTTTTTCTACAAAAGTTTTTATTAACCCCCTTAATCTTTAATTTTATTTTATATTAGTCTCGGTTTCTGGTTCCGGTTCCTAACTATAGGAACCAAAACAGGAGTCGTACAGTAACAGTTCTAAAAATTTGGAATCGGAACTTACCCATTGACGATTGGTTCTAGGTAGCAACTGGAACCGGAACCAAACCCAGGGTACCCATCGGTTCCAATTCTAACCGATTCTTTTGAGCACCCCTAATTGTAAGTATTAGTACAATAACCTTAAGATAACTAGAATTGTTTTTTATAAAAAAATAAAACACATTTTAATTAGAAACTTTTTAGATGCAAAAGGGATAATAATTAGATTTTTGAAAGTTGATTGTGTCAAAAACCCTCTCAAAGGCTAGTAAATTAACGGCATTCAATATGCTAAAAGTGGTGAGATGGCAAGGTCAACTAAAGTCTAAAGATAGAGCAAAAATCTTCAGCTAAGGATTTGATATCTAACTTAGCAGTAGATTGCAACAAATAATAAACTAGTAGGCCTCCTAGTAATTAAACGCAACAATCATGACAATATGCATAGAAGAACATCCAATACTCAAAACATAAATTGAACACTAAAAATAGATAGATCTCACAGTTTTATTGATTCCGAGGTCTCCGCTTCCTTCGACCAAGTTATAAAAGTTTAGCCACTCATGGCTATGAAAAACTCAAAAGAAAATGAATTCTAGAAAAGAGAAAGAGAGGCGTGTGTGATATATCTCAATCTGCCTATTTGAATTGTCTGACAAGGCGGAATGTTCCAGAACGTCAATAGTGCAGTTACGTCAAATTCAAGCCCGATTACAACCTTGATGCAGCGATTATCTCTCCAAACTCAAAAATGAAAGTTGTAGATCTCTTTCTTAGAGTTCCACAGAATTTTGAATCATCTCAATCAGAGCTCGGATGAAAGAGTTATGCCTAGATTACAAAGCAATGTCGAAACTGTCCGAATTCACCTAATTAGTTCCGTTTTGCATTTAACGCCTCCATTTGCCTCCTAAATCAAAATAGAATAATAATGAGTACATTTAGGCAACAAATAAGTATAAAAGAGTAGACATTAAGGGGGGTAAATATTACATTTTGCATTCTCATCATAGATCCTTTTCGAATCTAAAGTAATCTAGGTTTAGATCTGATTTTTTCACAACTGCAAATTTTTAGGGTTTCTACTAGTCTCCGGTAAATTGGGGCTTTTGTACTCTGGGCATCTATGAAGGTTAGGAACCTAGAAATGTCTAAGTTTGAGGTGGAAAAATTCACAGGGGATAATGATTACGGATTATGGAAGATGAAGATGAGGGCTATCTTAGTTAAGAATGGATTGTCTGATACTTTAGAGGGTGAGGATAGTTCACCAGACTCCCTATCTGAGAAGGAGAAGAAAGACCTATTAAATAAAGCCTACAGTACCTTAATCCTAGGTCTGGGGGATAAGGTCTTAAGAGAAGTTAAGAAAATGACCACACTAGCAGAAATTTGGGAAAAATTAGACTCTTTATACCTGTCAAAGTCTTCTCGTGATAGGTTAGTTTTAAAACAGAAACTGTTCAGTTTTCAGTTTCAGTTTTAAAATGGATGAAAACAACATATTAGGAGAAAATATGAATGACTTTATGAAACTAGTACAGGATCTAGAAGGGCTTAGTGTTAAGGTTGAGGATGAAGATCAAGCAGTGATTCTTATTAACTCTCTTCCCAAAATATTTTCAAATTTTGTGGACACCCTTAAGTATGGCAGAGAAACCCTTAAACTAGCTGAAGTAGTGGTAGAAATTACTGCTAAGGATGCTGAATTTAAAAAGGAAGGTAAACTTGATGGTGAGGGGTTATATGTGAGAGGAAGATCTGAAAAGAAAGGCCACAAGAAAGGGAGTTTCAAGGGTAGATCAAAGTCTAAGTCCAAATTCATTAGAAAATGTTTCCACTGTCATAAGGAAGATCATTTTAAGAGGGACTGTCCTGATAGGAAGAAAAAATCAGGGGAAAAGGATGCTAGTGGGAGTGTAGATATAGTTTCTGATGGTTATGAGAGTTCTGATGTGTTAGTAGCTTCTGAAAATGAAACTAATGCTGAATGGGTACTTGATTCTACCTATTCTTTCCACATGACTCCAAATAAGAGTTTTCTGTCAAACTTTAAGAAACTAGAGTCTAAAAAAGTGTTGATGGGCAATAATGCAGTTTGTTGAGTCTTAGGAATAAGAGATGTAAGGCTGAATTTGCATGATGGAAGTTCAAAATGGCTCATAGATTGTTAGATACATACCAGAACTAAAAAGAAATTTAGTTTCTCTAGGAAGCCTAGACTCAATTGGCTATAGTTATAAGGCTCAAGGTGGAGTCCTTAAAGTAACTAAAGGATCCTTAGTTATAATGAAGGGTGAGATGAGGAATGGGTTGTATATTCTAAATGGTTCAACCATTACTGGAACAGTAGCTATATCTTTATCTCAGAAGTCCAATAGGACCACTTTATGGCATAGGAGGTGGTGTGCTATCGTAGGCACCCAGAATTAAAACCTTTCGAACCTAACTACTGAACTGTAAATAGGGTAAGCAAGGGTCGATCCCACGAAGAGTGTCTAGCCGAATTTTCTTTGATGTGAAAAAGGCTGGGGGGTTTGTGTAAAAACAGAAAACAATCTCAGCAAAAACAAAAACAATTTAATTCGAATTCAATCAAAATGACGAACTTGGTCTCTGTCAACATCCACCATCGGAATCTTACNTATATATATATATATATATATATTAAATATATATTAATTGATTTGAATTGAGATAATGATGAAATAAAAATAAAATATCTAATTGAGAGTGTTTGGTAACATAGGGTGTTTGGGTTGGAGCCCAAGCCTATTCCATATGGGAATAGGGTATTAAAGTTTTACTATAAAAGAAAAACGTTACTTGTAAAAGGGAGAGATTTTTTCATTTTCTCTTTGAAAAGCAAAATTACATAGCCCTATTTACACTCCTACGGCAGTATCTCATTTTTGCCCAAAACTCAATTCATTTGATTTTCTTCTTGATTCTTAAGGCTAAGGAAGATCTAGCAAATCCTTCCTTAGTTCTTTGTGATTGTCTTCGTGTGGACTACATGGGTTCGATCCTACACTTGGATCGGTAGCAAAAACGTTCATTGACAAATTTGGAGGAGCCTTCAAACGTGCGTATGATTCTCTTAACTCATGATTAACCTTTTTGGTGCAGATTTTACTTTAATATAAATTGTAAAATTATATCCTTGATCTTGGCTCATGTAAACGATCCTTGTATTATATTTTTTGTTTTCGCTGTGTATATGGATCATTTACTAACACAGTACAATGTCCAGAATCAGAAGAAGAAAAGAAGGAAATGGCTTGCATTCCGTATGCAAATGCAATAGGGA